GATAACAAAGTTCAGAGAGGCTTCACCACTATTATTTTAAATTAAATCCCTGGAGCATCTTAAGGACACAAAGCCCTGTTTCACAAGATCAGTGCTCAGGTCCCATCTATTGTCCCATATTTCACTTCTGACTTTAAGCAGATTGCCTTTTGTTCCCCATTTACCCTGCATGACACTTCTCAGTCTGCAGGAGTCCAGGCTAAGGGACTCAGTACATCAGGGACTCATCAAATGAAGATGTATTTTGTTTAGCCAGAAAATATTAAGACCACAAAAGTCTCTCATGTCTATGTGTAGAAATGAGGGGAGTGCCATGCAAAATGCCATCTAAAATTAAGAACAGTAGAGACCCACAGTTATCTCGCAGTTATTGTCTGATGCATCTCTAAGACACCTTAGGGGTTTTGGAGCTCTGTTTCAGGAGGGTGTTTAGTTGGCTGGTGGATTTGCAGGAACATGCTAAAAAAACTCCTGTTTCTCTCCCCATTCCCCCAGAAAGAAGGGAAAAAAAAAAAAAAAGAAAAAAGAAAAAAGAGGAAAAGGAAAGCTTCTGCAGCTCTTTATTCTGAAAAAGACCCTTTCCTTTAAGCCTACAAAACCCTATCTCTTTAAAAATAGCCACCCATGTCAATAACATAAAGACAAACCTGACCTACAGATGAAAAGCTCCTACAGTCCTGGAAACATAGGGGTTGATCCTTTCCTTTTTGTGCCCATTGGAAGGAAAAAACCCTGGTTTTAATGTCTGGGACTCCATGTGTCATGTGGTAGAAGGGGAAATGTCCCAGTCCCAGTGAAGACCTCGTTTGTTCTCCATGGATCTAATCAGGTGATCAGGACAGCAAAGGTAATACAGATTTCTTCTTTGCTACATCTCAAAAGGGAGCTGGGAACAGAGAGTCTACTTTCAGAAAGCAAAGCTAAGACGCTTCTAATACTTAGATCTGTATGATGAAATCAATGAGAAACAGCAATTCTTATTCAGAGTCACACTGTGTAACAAAGCAAAGAGAAGAGAAAAGGCCGTATTTTTCCATGAGAGCATCTGGGGCAGCTGTAACTACTCCAGATGATTTAATCTTTTGGAGGAAGCTGAAATTTAGTGGTGAAAAGGTATCATGACATTTCCCAGCATTAGATGCACATTGTGGCAGAGCAGCACAGAACTGATGCTTAGATTTTCACAGCTTTTCATTAATACTAAAAGCAAAACCAATGAGGAAAAGGGAGCAGGAGTAAAAAAATGCAGACAGCTTTTCCATGAGCTTCTTTCCCAAATGAACCAAGAATTAAATTAAAAAGCTTTAGCTTGCCATCTTCTCCTATTGACCTACTCATCCAGACTTGTGATCCTCACCATAACTCCTTGGAACACCTAGCTAGGCTGACTTAAGTTTCACCCACCAAAGCCAATGACTATTTTCTTGATGTCTCTTACATCAATTATGTCCTTGGGTTATTAAGCTACAAGCTCTTACCTCTTATTAACCAGTGGAAAAACAATACTGAAAGAAGATGTGATGGCTCAGGCTAGATAAGCCAATGCCATGATTTTTTTTTTTAAACCAAAGAAGAGATGTTACCCAAGCCAGGTCTGATTTAACATCACAAATAAGAGAAGGTGTATCAACCATAAGCTACCTTTAAAACCGTCTCCAGATATTAGAGGAAGAACAAGGTCCCCTCTAGTGGAAAGCTATGGAATATGTCGAGTAGGAGATCCTGAAAGTCTTGGTTCTGTAGCATCTCGTTCGTTTTCTCCACACCACCTTTGCCATGCACATACCACCTGGCTAATCTAAATGAAAGCAGAGCTACTGCCATTCCTACTTGGATGTCTGGGCCTTGGGTCTTAACTCCTGCTCTCGGCCTCTGGGATTTGTAATTGCACTTTTCTCAGATAAATCAGTGTAATCTCCAATCTTGTCATTAATGATTCAGTTTGCAAAGTTTCAGCAGCTGTGGCTGTAATTTCTCCAACGCAATTTCCCCATCTGGTGGTGTAAAAAGCAGCTCCCAGTCTGCTGCTGGTCAGTTTGCTCCACTCCAGCAGTGTTACTTTACAACCACCATGAGCTGGCATTCAGATTCCACCTGACCACTGCGATACAATCTAGGGGAAAATGTGAACTGGTTTTGGATGATACCTGTAAATTTACTGCCCTCCATGCCCACTTTGGGCATTATTACAAGTTTTGTTAGGCAGGTTGTTTTCTTGAGAGTCTGCAACCCTCATTAATGTAATCCTTTCATTCCACCCATACACTTTCATACACAAGTTGATATACCCCTCAGGTTACCCAGGGTTGGTCCTTCAGAGAGGAGAAACTTTTGGTTTTTAACACGTCGTCTTTTTTTTCAGTAAGACAAAGACACAACCTATGTATGTTATCTTATAAATATAGGCTTTGAAAACATTTGCCATCTGATCTTGGCAGAAATGAATTAAGATTAATTTCAAAGGCTCCAGTAGTCATGATGCAGGTTTCTTAGTAGGGATTTTTGGTAGGTTGGTTGGTTTTGGTTGGTTGGGCTTTTTTCAGCTTTGAGGTGTTTTTTAGTGTGAGAGAGACAGCGGTTTTATTAAAGAGGTGAGGGTTAAGGAAAGAACTAGTTGTAAAGGGGCAGATTTTCTTCATTGAAGATTTTGGATCCAGAATATATCTGCTCCTCTTCCCTCTCACCAAATAGGTACAGATTGAGTCAGCATCCTCATTCTGCACATCCCAAAGAGCATTAATACCAGGATTAATGGCACTGCAGCATGTTTCCAGCTGCAGGGCAGGGAAGCAGTTTTTCCTGCCTAAACCACAGATGGATCCCATCCTGCAGCTGCTTTACGTGTAAACTGGAGTTTGTAAGGCATAAGCATCCACTCAGCCCCCCCACAACACACAATGAGCTCATGCAACCTTGTGCATGTCCCAAGGAGTGACATCTCTGCACACAGGCAGAGTATGGCCTGAATGCAATTTTTAAAACCTTTTTTTCCTTAATTTTCATTGTGACACCTTCTGAAAGAAATCAATTAAGGGAGAGAACAGCAGAGAGCATGTAACTGGAATATGATTGACACCTGCCATATCTGTGTTAGAATAAATGTGTTTTCATTAACTGGCACTAGGCGTCTCTGCAGCTCCCTAAGTGAAGGTGTGTTAATATGAACTGATACCTCCTCAGGATTTACATATGCATATACACATACACATACAGACTGGATTACAGACCTGTGTTCCTGCAGGGTCGCCTCCTTCCCAGCTGGCTGTATGCCTCTTGTATTCCCCTTTTGTTCCAGCTGAAAAGGTGGATAAAGTCCCTTTCCTGGACTTACGTACAGACCAGAGCCATAAACCTGGATATCTGAGACCTCTCAAACTGAGAATGAAATTGAAAACAGGTCCTCTGCTCCTGCCTGGAAGCAGCAATACCCACTCATCTTCAGGATGTGAAAACTTAGGGGTAGGACTGAGATGCAGACTTAAACACAGATGTCTATAACATACATATTCACACTCATCATTTAGAATCATTGCAATAGATGGAGATATAGGACTCCAACCATGTGTCTGCATACAGATGCAGAATTTCTGAACCTGGCTTCTACCTGTACTCCTCTAGCATGGCAGATCATACCTGGAGGCAGTCAGCTGCCACTGTTCATGCTCGTAGTAAATATTTCTGTGCTTGTGAATATCTTTCCCATCCTTGTTCCTCAAGTCTTATACCACCCTTCAGTAGCTTATAGCACCCTTCATGGTGCTTTTGGTGACTTTGCTGAGGCTCATTAACAAAGCAGGACATGGTCTTCATTTGCTAGGCTCATTTTCTGCCAGGATAGGTTGGGCAGGAGAAGAGAGAGGGAGAAGGAAAGAGAAATACCTTTTCAGTGGCAGATCAGCTCTCTGTCTTAAAAATATCAGGTAAATAGAAAGCAGTTGGATTAATGCAAATCTAATTTATGGGACCTGAGATAAATAAACTACTGGAGATTACTGCCTCCTTGCTCCATGCAGGAGACAAAGCCATGCCACTCTGTATATTCAGAGATGGTGTATCCAGCAGATACAACAGGTAGAGCTCTAGTCATCACAATATTATTGCAACTAATTGCAAATTATTCCCCATTAGCTTTTTAGCAAAATACCCCATCGCCGTTAATCTTAAGGCAAAAATTGCTGAGATATTTACAAAAACACTAGGAGAAAAACTGCTCCTGATAAAACTACTCTTTAAAATTTTCCAGGAGCTGAGAGAAATAGCAGCCACATAAAAGTGTAGCAAAACCCCTGGCTTCAAAACTGCTCAGGGAAAGAGTGAAGACATGAATGCATTCAGCCTTGCTCCCCTGAGACCCCAAGTTTCTGCTTCAGTATGCTGAGCATCTTCACATCCCTTTTTTCCCAGTGGGGTCTTGTCATCTGTGTTTTCTGAAGGGATGATGAGCTGAGGACAGCTACTGCTTACAGCAGCACAGATGCAGTTTGTTGTTTGCTTTTTTTTATTCGGTGTACATCCCCTTACAGCTTGATTTATATTTCTTTCATCGGAAAAAAAATGTGGATAAATCATCTGGGAGATATTCAGTTCTTTATATTCCCTTCAGTAGTCCAGAGAAAGAGGCACTTGAGAAGGAAGGTAAGATTTCTCTCATGTGTCCAAGCCACCTCTCAGAAACCATATGAGCTATGATTTAGAAAAGTCCATTCTTTGGGTTTTAGCATCCAGAATTTACTTAATCCCTATTCACATGCAAATCCCATTTAGAAGGAGGTGAGTATTAACGAATATTTCTCAAACTCCTTAAGGTCCTCAAGAATAACAAATTTTAAATGAATCTTGTCCTCACATTAGTTTAGACCCTCATCTTTGTGCATTTCCATGCTTATCCAAAGTCCTAACTCTCACTCCAAGTTGCACTTTGTTTCCAGTTGTTCACAGTGTATTTTATGTACAAGATACTGTCTTGCCAAATGGCCACATTTGCTTTTGGTGGGTTCAAAATGTAATAAATCCATACACCCAGAGGCACTCAACAGCCCAAGTATATGGAGACAGCATGTCCCTGTCTGCTTCCAGTGCCCTACCCACAGCAATTTGACAGTGCCCTCCCTGAAAGACTACCAGCACTGTCTTTTATCAGGGTCACTTCTTCTTTGCTGGGGCTTTAGCATTCCCACCGCCCTTGCCATTAGTTTTGGTGTCTCCTCCTGATTTTACTGCTTCACCTTTTTCACCTTTCTTCCCACCACCTTGTTTCTTGTCAGTGGTGTCCTTTTCTCCCTTTTCTCCCTTTTCTCCCTTTTCTCCTTCTTTCTTTTTGGCTCCATCCTTTCCTTCTTTCTTGGATCCTTCTTTCTGGTCCTTTTCACCATCTTTCTTCTTGGAGCCTTTGGATCCATCTTTTTTACCCTGAGCTTTGTCCACTTTTCCAGATACAGTGGGAACTTCTTCTTTTTTTTCTTCTGCAACCTGAGCTGTATGAAAAGACAGAAAAAGAAAATATAAAAGCAGTTAACTTGGGTTGACAGTAGCCAGGAGGAGGGCAAAATTCCTGCTCTCTGCTGGCAAATCTTGGACAAAGAGAAAATATTTGTACTGGGGCTGTGTCCAGTGTTTTGCTCACTGACTAGCAGCTTTTCATGCCTTTGTTTTGAGAACATAGACTAATGGGATAAAGCAGAACCAGTAATTTCGAGAGTTGAGATGTGGATCTATTGTAGGAAATGGCTCTTCTTGTTAGGAACTGGTTCTTGAAAGCTATAAGCACAGTCCATAAGCATTTCCCAATAATGCCAGTGTGGAGCTATCTCCTTCCACAAGAAGGAACAGAAACATCTCTCATGCAATTCAATACAGACATGTCTTGTGTTTAGGGGTTGTTTTTTTTGTTGGTTGGCTTTTCTAATTTTTGTATATGGGGTATGTCTCCTGCAGGTGAGAGTGGACAGCAGGAATTCTGCTAGGTAATTTGCCTTCAGGAGATAGAAAAGCAGAAGTTGGTTTGCCCAGCAGAAGACCACAAAGTAGGCTTAGCTTTATGTTATATCCAAGTCCAGTGACCATGGGACTGGCTTCCCACCTGACCCACTGTAATTAATTGAAGCAACACACTATAGATATACAGTAATTAACTGTTAGTTAGCCCTAGTTTGGCATGTTTAAACAAGCCATATTAGTTATAGGAAGCTTATAATACCTTTAGTTATGAAATATTTTTATATAGAAATATGCATATATGTGCTCACAGCCCAGAAAGCCAACCGTATCCTGGGCTGCATCAAAAGGAGTGTGATCAGCAGGTCAAAGGAAGTGATCCTGCCCCTCCACTCTGCTCTCGTGAGACCTCACTCGGAGTATTGTGTGCAGTTCTGGTGTCCTCAACATAAAAAGGACATGGAACTGTTGGAACAAGTCCAGAGGAGGGCCACGAGGATGATCAGGGGACTGGAGCACCTCCCGTATGAAGACAGGCTGAGAAAGTTGGGGCTGTTCAGCCAGGAGAAGAGAAGGCTGCCTGGAGACCTCATAGTAGCCTTCCAGTATCTGAAGGGGGGCTATAGGGATGCTGGGACTGTAGTGACAGGACAAGAGGGAATGGGCTTAAACTTAAACAGGGAAAGTTCACGTTAGACATAAGGAAAAAGTTCTTTACTGTGAGGGTGGTGAGGCACTGGAATGGGTTGTCCAAGGAAGCTGTGAATGCTCCATCCCTGGCAATGTTCAAAGCCGGGTTGGACAGAGCCTTGGGTGACATGTTCTAGGGTGAGGCGTCCCTGACCATGTCAGGGGGGTTGAAACTAGATGATCTTAAGGTCCTTTCCAATCCAAACCATTCTATGGTTCAGTAATTCTATGATCTTGGATTCAGCTCCCACATTTCAGGCGAGAAGACTTTATTCTGACAAAAGATTTGGTAGCAGAAAACTCTTCCTCATCTTTTTTATTTTCCTTCTACTGGAAGTGTTTTTTCCTGAAGTCAGAGGCTGATAAACTGAGCTCTGATCTCAAGAAGGAATTTGACACTTAAACACAGATCATATTTCATATATTCCTTATGGAATTTTTTTCCTTTGCTTAAGACCGGCAAAGTATGAAGTTTGTCAAAAACAAGTGAAAACGTTTTAAGTTTCCCATTATCTCCTTCTCTGAAAATCCCCAGTATGACTCAAATATGTAAATAGATAAACATGTTAACACAACTTTATAATTAAAATCAGCCAAGATATAGCAATGACCTAGGAGTGACCTCAGGAAATGGAGGATGATCGGTCACCATTTAGCTTTCTTCAGCTGGCACCTAGGAGGAGTAAAATTATTTCATGTTTGTCACAGGCTAAGGAAAGATAAGAGTGAACTGGCTTAGGAGGTGATTTAGTATGGACCATTTGGTGACATGTCTCAGCCCCTACCTGGAGCCACTAGACACCAACCTGATTAAGCAGCCCCAAATCTCTCAACACTATGGATGTCTGTAGTGGGACTTTCAAATTGCAGCAATGTATTACCTGAATTTATTATGCTTACCTAAATTATTCCTTCAGCGTGCACACTTAAAAAAGATAGTATCTTTTGACCTTGTGAACTGGCAATTCATTTGTACATAAAAATTGGAGGAGAATAATATAGAATATTTCTCATAACCACAGACAAAATCCTGACATCTCATATAAAAAAGAAATTAAAAAAAAAAACAAACAAAAAAAAAAGAGAGAGGAAATAATTATAAAAACCCACCACATTGTCTGCTTCCTAAATAAATACGGTAGGAACCAGGTGAACTCCCCAAAATGTCAGCTGGAGCAGCCTCAAACCAGAATACTTGAAGATCAACCAAGCCATGAACCCAGACAGTACATCTCCACCCAGAGCTAAGCCTGGGTCCTGCTTGTACTTCTCCCAGACTGGGGGACAGAGCACAAATGAATTAATTTGTATATAACATTTTATACACTGAAACTTTAATTCCATTTTATTTATGTCCAGTAAAAGGGCTTGCCATATATGCCACTCAAAAAGCACATGGAGACCCATTTGACATTTTCCAATGTGACAGCTAGAATTTTCCAACATGGTAAATGTGAAGTAGGATAAAATAATGCCAAGAAATGAGTGTTGAAGTGTTGCAATATATTAATTATTAATAGCATTTGACATTTACATAAATCTTTAAAGCATTTAATGGCCACTCAGTAATTAAAATCACTCAAGTAATTTCTCTGGCCTTGACTGGATCTACCAGGGATTGTCAAGGTATAAGTATATAAATAGTCAGCAAATACATACATTTTATTTTATGACCACATCAATCAACATAAATTGCCAAATGTCAGTGGGGCAACACAGCAGAGTATCACACTCTGTATAGATGAGAATAACAGCACAGAGATGAAGCCCAAAGATTTACATACTTTCCATTGTACTGCTTAAATCATGTAGCAAAACTTTTCTGGGCACAGGGTACATGCTAATCTCAGAAGGAAGTCAAACCAGGGGGGTTGATCACACAAAGCTTTTGCTTCTAACAGTTTAGGCACTGATAGCTGAATCAGTCTTTTGGGTCCCCAGGGTTGGAGACATACAGGCATTTTTAAGGCACAATTTACCTCTTCCACTTTAGCATCTCCCCTACCATGAAAGGAATCACATCCTTCTTATTTTTCCACTGTGGATAAAGGAATAAACAACTAGTGCTGATGCAAACTTCTCCATATATGTGGTAATGTACTTGTAGACAGATGACTCCTACCCCAGTACCACATCTTTCAGGGCAACTTGGGCAGGTTTATATCTGCCTAGTCCCATAGGACTAGAAGCTTCAGAGAACATATATTAATGAGCAATTACCAGACATCATCAGCCATTCAGCAAAATGCCATCTAACAGCCTCCTACCCTGTGCCATGCCATAACCAGAATTCTAGGATTCTCAAAGGTCTATCGGTGGTCAACTAGTCCACTTATACATTTAATTGGATAAATGTTTAGGTAGTTTTATGGTATAGCTGACTTCCCATACATTGCATTCTTATGGTAATTTATTAATGAGTTCATGCTGCAATAATTTATCATGGTCTGATTAAATGTACACCAAATAGCCAGCCTTCAGATGTAGTACATGTACATGTTCATGGGATGTACAGGCTGCTTACAGGAGAACAAAATTTGTTAGCATTCTGGGGTGAAACAGCCATTTCAGTGCCCAAATACCCTTTCTATCTCTTCCAGATCATTCTTCTTATCACTAATTTATTGGTTTTCCAGGAGTAACAGCTAGGCAGGAAGAGGACACAGCAGCAAATGAGTGGTCTGACTTTCTGCTATCTAGACACATGACCTTTTACACTCTGGGACCTATTGATAGCTGGTCAGAATTTGGTCTTTTGGGCAGGAAACTGAAGGATACAATACTAAACACTTCCATGTGTTTAGTATTGTTCATTCATTTAAGAGCGCACTAACTAGACCTTGGGATGACCTTTGACTTTAAAGGAGGTTGAAAGAATTTAACCCTGTGGAGAAGGACTTATTTATGTGAGTTGGGTTCAACTCCAAAGGGTATTCTGGCCATCATCGGTTTATAATATAGGCACAGTCCAATGTCTGAATGCCTCTGAAATTCTGAGTTATGTGCAAAACCCTACTATTAAGCACTTAGTTCTGTATTTTGCTGGTATAGAACTAAATTTCTATAATTCTGCTATCTGCCTCTTTCACGGGTTTCATGGATTGGAGCATCACATTTTGAGTTAAGGAAACTTCCAGTACCTTCAAAGCTACAGTTCACATGGTTTGCAGAGACACGGGGAAGAGAATAAAAGTTCATGAAAAGGTACTGAGAAAACAGAAGTCAAATGCAGAAAGGGAACCGAGAAGCAGAGTCCAAGGCATGATGGATCGCATCAGAAAAGAGAAGCCACAGACAAACAGACAGGAAGACAGTCCCCTAATTTCCTTGCAGGGCCACTTCATCTTCTTCTTTCACAACAGGCAGGGAGTTGAGAGGTCTGGAGTGGACATGACCAGATAGAGTTAGGAGAGTTTCAGTAGAGCCTAGGGTACAGAATCAGGAAAGATGAGTGAGAGCAGCAGAGACCAGTGACAGAAATACTATTGGCCATCAAAGAAAGGCAAGCCATTTATTGGTAGTGTGACACTAACAACTTTTTCTTCCTGCTGACATCTGCCAACCCAGGAACTGACCCTTAAAATGAATCAGACTCTGGAAATTTTAAATATAAACTTCAAAGGCATGACCTTGACTTGTACCAATGGACAAACTGTCCCTTTCATCTAAGTGACAGTGCCTGCTGCCACAAATGCTGCAGGTTTAGTGCATGTGACTGTGAGGGGTTTACTAAGCCGTGACAATATCTTAATGGTTGTGTCCAAGAAGGCACACTGATTTATGCTAAAGGAAGACCTAGCCCTTTGCATTCATGCATACAAAAAGCAATCCCCAAAAAAGACATGGGTCTCGTGTAGGTGTGGGTATGGGAAGTACCTCCAGGGATCTCTGTCAGCTCGTTGAGTGGTGGCACAGTGTCCAGTTTGTCAGCATATGTCTTGGCTGCTTGCCGTTGAGCATATCGTGCCTCAATTTCTTTCCTTGTCCGGGGAATCCGGCACTTGAAGATACAGCACAGCGTGATAACTGAGAAAGGAGAGAGGGAAACACGAACATTCAGTTTAGTCAGCAGAATTCTGTCTAGTACAAGCTGGCCCACTTACAGTGGGGAGATAACAGGAAGAAAAATTACTTTCAGAAGAGTTTCTTCCAGTAAGAACCATTTACATCAGTGGAAGTACCTGCCTGAGGGATATGGTCACACAGTCTAAAGCAATTGAGCTACCTGGAAATAAAAATTTGTCACTCTTCAGCTGAGCTGTGGTAAAGGACTGAGCATGTCCTTCCCACCAAAACCAATGTAAACCGTTGCCTCAAGCCATAAATGTCAGTGGTGTCTCTGAGCATCAGAATAGCAACAATGTAAATTCATTATGTCTTTGGAAGTGACAGCAGCAGCAAATAAGATGTACTGTCACCCTTCAATAAGGTATTATTGCTAGAGGCTCCTGACAATATATCTTAGCTATTCATTATTGTGGTAGGTAGATAAGGGGATTGTGGGCCTTCAGCTGAAGAAAAAAATGACGAGTTTGACATGAAAACACTTCAAAATAGATCCAGAACAATAGCTCAATATATGTCTTAATTGACTTTCATCTAAATCCATTTAGGGCAGGCAAAAAATTAAACCTGATATCCTAAATCCCCTCATCATGAGCTTACTATTCTATGATGCTACTTTCCTGAGCTAGGCTTCTTTATGTGACTTTGGGATACAGATAACACTTTTACTCCTAGTAAGACATATTTTCCCTTCATGATTAAACATATATGTTCCTGCAGAATTTCCATCTGCAAATCTAATCATGATTGAGACAATTCATTGAAATGATATCATTACTGATTGGTTTCCTAGGCTAGGAATTCACAGACTTGATCAGATCATTGATCAGACGATCACTTGGTCAGATCCATGTACAACCTCTGACAATAACAAAACAACTTCAGGGGAGAGTCAATCAGACTCAGAAACTGGCAATCATAAAATTAGTTGACCCACAGGTGATAAACATGTGAAGAAGCATGAGAACTCATGGTTTCTATAAACACTTAATGTTACTTTTCTGTGGGCATCCCTAAAATAGGATCATAGAATCATAGATTCATAGACTCATAAAATCATAGAACCATAGAACAGTTTGGGTTGGAAGGGACCTCCCACGTTCATCTAGTCTGACCCCCCGTGCAATGATCATGGACATCTTCAACTAGATCAGGTTGCTCAGAACCACATCCAGACTGGCTTTGAATGTCTCCAGGGATGGTGCATCTACCACCTCCCTGGTCAACCTGTTTCAGTATTTTACCACCCTCATTATAAAAGATTTCTTCCTCACGTTTAGCCTTAATCTCCCCTCTTTTAGTTTAAAACCATTACCCATACTAAAAAGTGTTGCCCCATCTTTCTTATAGGTCCCTTTTAAGTACTGAAAGGCCACAATAAGGTCTCCCTGGAGTCTTGTCTAGGCTGAACAATCCTAGCTTTTCCCCATAGGAGAGGTGTTCCATCCCTCTGATAACTTTTTGTGGCCCTCCTCTGGACCCTCTCCAAGAGGACCATAATTTTCCCGTACTGAGGACTCCAGAGCTGGATGCAGTACTCCAGGTGGGGTCTCACCAGGGCAGAGTAGAGGGGCACAATCACCTCCCTTGACCTGCTGCCACACTGCTCTGGATGCAGCCCAAGATACAGCTGGCCTTCTGGGCTGCAAGTGCACATTGCCAGCTCATGTCAATCTTTCATCCACCAGTACCCCCAAGACCTTCTCCTCTGGGGTACTCAATCTTCATCTCCCAGCCTGTATTAATACCAGAGGTTGCCCTGACCCAGGTGCAGGACCTTGCACTTGGCCTTGTTGAACCTCATGAGGTTCGCATGGGCCCACTTCTCAAGTTTGTCCAAATCCCTCTGGATGGCATACCTTCCCTCTAGCATGTCAATTGCACCACTCAGCTTGGTGTCATCTGCAAACTTGCTGATGATGCACTCAATCCTACTATGTCATTGATGAAGATATTAAACACTACTGGTGCCAGTACACACCCCAGTACAGACCCCTAAGGGATGTCACTGGTGTCTATCTAAACGCTAAGACATTGGCCACTACCTTCTGGATGCGACCATCCAGCCAATTCCTCATCCACTGATCAGTCCACTCACCAAATCCATCTCCAATCTCTCCAATTTTGAGAAAAGAATATTGTGGGGGATCTTGTCAAACGCTTTACAGAAGTCCAGATAGACAACAACCATAGCCTTTCCTTTGTCCACTGATCTAGTTGGGGGGATTCTTCTTTTCTAAATAAAAGCTCAACTTTCCAGCCTACATCACCTACATAAGTTCTTTGTCTCTTTTATACTTTGTGGAAAGGGGTTCTGAAGGCAAGCAGAGCCTTGTGCTTGGAAAGATGTTGTGTGAGCAGTTTTACGTGTTCTGTTTTCTATTTTAGCCTGAGTTCCTCCATGCCACATTAACACTATGAGAAAGGAGCAAGCATCCAACTTCCTGTACACTTCAAAAGTCAAGTAACCTTCTCTGGCTTTACATTACCATGAGTAATGCATCAGACCTTTGAGACTAAACCAAGAAAGCAACAGAAACAATCTGTACTTTTGGTTCCAAGTGTGAACATTTATCATCCAATAGGAGTAAAAAAAATTGCAGATGCATCTACACCAGCACATAGACCAGCTGCTGTAAATTTTACTCCCTAAAAGTTTGTCCTGTACTTGTCCAGTCTCTCCTAAGGAAAGAGGATTGTGTTAACCAGGAGCAAGCTCTGCATGACATCTCCATACCACAAAAGACAAAAGGAAAGTAGTGAAACACCTTTCTCAGTGTTCTGAGGTTGGTGTAAAGTTGCCAAGTGTAGCAGTTCCTCTATACCTTTACAGAATTTTGCTGCCAAAAGTATCACTTCCTTTAAACAACTTGCTACCGAGGTGTTGCAGTGGAAGCACACTCAGAGCTATCTAAACATCACAACAGGACAAGACAGGTGAAGTGAATTGCCTAAACCAACATGAAATTGTAACAATCTGTGACTGGGGAAGCAATCAAGATGGTTATATCCTTGCTCTTCCATGAGGGTCAGCAACAGGTTGAGAGTAATTGAGCTTTTACTTGTCTTACAAAAGGAAAGCAAGGTACCCACATGGCATTATTGGCAGCACAACACTATCAGCTTGCAGGTGGGTAGTGTACCACATCTGGAAAGTACAGAGCTGGGTCTGCCTTGTTCAAGGCAGCAAGATTTCACGGCGCAGCTGCCCATAGAGCTACAGCTACATTATAACCAGCAGAAGGCATAGACCTTTTCAGGCTGGCCGGCAAAAAAATACTCAGTAGCTGAGCAAGAACTCAAGGCACTGTCAGGCGAGACATAAACATACACTTTTAACAGGGACAACAAATGGGGAAGCAACTTACAGAGGAGGACAGTGTATGTGCTTTTTCTCTAGCCACTTTAAAATCAAGATCTATTGTCTTCCTAAAAGCACTCTGGAGTTCAGCTAAGCCAGGAAATCCTCTATTCACATTTGAGAAAAAATTGCCAGCAAATTAGCACCATATTTCCTGGAGACTGATAAAGAATAAGTCTGCCAGCTTTCAAGTAAAGCACAAAGAGATTGCTCAGTGCCCTTGAAAGTCAAGGACAAAAAGTCTGCTGTGATATCACAGTAGCTGGCTTAGCACTATGGGAAAGAACAGGGGTGGTTGTATCTCTTATGGTTCCACTTCTTCCAATTACTAAGGACAAAAATGGTAGTTGCTACATGATAGTTATGAGCTGGGCTCTCTGTTTAACTTTCTAATGGAGATAGAGCACTACACTGAGGTACTGGGGACTTAAGTTGTCTTGGGATGTGAAATGATTCATAACCAGCGACTGGAGCAAGAGCCTTATGTGAAAATAATACAGTACTACTTTTATCTGCATCCGCTTTGCAAGCTGTGCTTAGTGTAAGGCTCAAGTCACGTAGGGGCATAAGCACTGAACTGATTACCATTATCTTTTAAAAAAAAAAGAAAACCCATGCCACTTAATAAGATTCAGGATTTGGTACAGGAGCTTTAGGAGACTGAAACTGATGCCAGGATCGTTTTATTGCTGTGGGAAATTACTGCCTGCTATATATCTTAGTTTTCCCCTCCAGGTGAGACACAGGAGACAGAGTGGAATTCATCTGCTCTGTGTCCCCCAAAGCTAGAGATTATGGTCTTATTCACTCCAGGCTTCCTTTATCACTGATGGGGAGAAAAGTATCTCTACAGGGTGAATAATCTCATTTTAAAACAAAATAAACCACTCTCTGCAGCTGCCTTTCCATTAATTACAGAAAGAGATGGGAATGACCAGTCTCACAGAGGACTATGGAAGAGCTGCCATGCCTGGAGTGAGAGTCAAAGGCTGGACAACGTGCCCTAGGACTTCCCAAATGGTGTCAGAGATCTACACAGGTGTGTGAATTGTTCCTTGAGTTAGAAGAGCTGAATCCCATACTTTGGAAGATAAGAGAGAAATATTTGTTGCATAGTAGAAGTTTGGAGCTATCTTAGCATCTCTTCTTCTACGCCCAGTAGATATATTTCTCCTGCTTCAAATCAGTGAGATTATATTTGTACCACTAATAAATTATTCATCAACTGAACCACAAAGCAATGTAACCTGTGCTGATTCCTGGGCCTTTTTTGATGTCAAGGTTAATCATAGAATCACAGAATGGTTTGGCTTGGAAGGGACCTTTAAATCTCATCCAGTTCCAAGCCCCCTCCCACAGGCAGGGACACCTTCCACTAGACCAGGTTGCTCCAAGCCCCAGCCAGCCTGGCCTTGAACACTGCCAGCAATGAGGCAGCCACAGCTTCTCTGGGCAGCCTGTGCCAGTTCCTCACCACCCTCACAGGGAAGAGCTTCTTCTTCAGATCTCATCTCAATCTCCCCTCTGTCAGTTTAAAGCCATTCCCCTTTGTCCTGTCCCTACCTGCCCTTGTCAAAAGCCCCTCTCCATCTTTCTTGTT